ACGCACATCAGCCGGCGTCTTCTGGTGAGATCAAGCAACGAATCTTTTTATCGTTTACTTTCGTACGAAGTGGAATCGTCCCAATGCTGTTATCTTGACAGTTCATCGAGACCCAATTACTCGTCCTATGTGAAAACTTATTTTTTCGAATTAAGTATTGTTTTTCGTGTCGAAACTGCAGTCCACTTTTGTCTGGATGAGAACAACTTTTTGGAAAGCAAGGCTATGTGAAATTCAATAGAATCGCCAATTCAACTCGTATCATTGTGGGAAAATTCTTCTTCTACCAATCCTTCATCACCTTAAACGAAATTGGGTGAATACATCTCATATGTCACATTGGTTGGTTTAAGGGTTTATAGTGGAGTTTTTTTTTTAAATGATATGATTACAGTAACCGGGAGTTATGGAAAGTCTTGAAAATCTTTACTGTATCCAATTATCTTATGCCTGTGCTGTGTGTTTGGTTGTTACAACTGCTTACCCTAAGCCTGTTGCATTCTCAGACTTTTCACCAGAGATGTGCTGCCAAATTGTCGAGGCAAAAGAACCTAATGACGAAATAGTATAACTTTGAAGATTTGCGATTTGGGGTTTTCCACAGAATCTGTATGGGATTGCATGGGATTGTTAGTGGTTCACGGCCCACTGTTTAAAGAAAGTCTGACATGACTGAAATTCCATGTCAGCACAAAATGTGCTCTTTACAGTCACCCAATGAACAGCACTTGATTGAAAAATGATAAAATATGCAAATCTTTGAATCAGTTTTGCCAGGCCGGAAGTCGACATTGTAAAAATGCTCATATCTCCTTGGTTGCAACACAATTTTAGGTACATGGGCATTTATGGGCCCGCCATACCAACGCCCAGTCCAGGCCTGAAAAAGGCATCGACAACCGAGGCAACCGAAGCGACGGAAAGTGAGATAGCGACAGGTGACGTTAAATCTGGTACAGCTCAGTCAATTGGAACTGGTCGTGGTCGCTCGAGTGGCCGGCTGGCGAGGCTACTGCTTCCGGTGCGCAGGTCGGCGCCCAGTTCCGGTTGCAATTCCGGAGAGCGTCATCATGTAACTGGAGGTAAGATGCCGACTTTCCTGTATCGTTGTTATGGTGATGCGTTGGTATTATGTGGTGCGCATTCGGTGCGTGTGTGTGTGTGTGTATTTAGTCCTCGATTAGTTGTTACTTGTCATGTAAAGGCAGTTTCTTCTTCTCAATGTCCTCTTGTTTGGGTGTAGAGGCAATTTGTATTGCCCGGAAATGATGTATTAATCCCATTATTTTCAGCCATTATTCTGTAAATATACCGATTCGGTGCCAGACTCATTAGTGTGTATATGCAAGGCTTTTCACATATTTTTCCTTTCATAAGTCGTTTTTAGAGACTGCCAGTGGAGCTGTTGTAAAATCTGTATTCACCCCATTTCAAATGGGCTGCTGAAGGGCTGTTATCTGAATTTTTCACATTTCCATGGAGTGGACTGCAATGTCGATCTCACCTGAACTCCTCTTATCAGCACCCCCAGCGCGACTAGAACCCGTTTTGTGGTAGTGCAGCTTATGGTCTCAACACTTTAATCACTACGCCACACTTCCAACAGTACCCGTGGGTCACAGAGCAAAAGTGACTTTCAAGAAAGCCAAACCATTTCGCATTTCCATTTTGTCTTGATGACATTGTCGACGAGGCAACGTTATATTTGCTAAAGCAATTGACCAGATTAATTATTTTTTTGTTTCACGAGTAGGTTGTTGAGTCTACCACCAGATCTGATATTAGAGCTGTTGTGATGACGGGTTTTACCATGAGCTCTACTCATATGAATATATTAAGACCAAGATGTTGTTATGGTCGCAGTCTTCTTTCGATTTACAGAATTGGGTTGACTTCGTTGTCGCAGCTTGGTCTTGTTGTCAGGGAGACTATGTAGTCTGTCATTGTAGTTGTCATGATTCCCAGCATCAGACAGTGGACTTGATACTTTCTCAAACGTTTTGCCAGCATCGTAGTCGGCATCATCAGTCAGTTTTGCCATCACCAACCAACGAACTGGTCAAAGAGACAAGTGAAGTCACTCCCTCGATAAACGTTCTGCCAAAAGCGCGTACACTATCACTCCTCTTTCTGCCATGGCCTATCTTACTCTTTTTGAAACTGTTGCAAACGATATGGTATCACTCCTAAGTTCTGTTACCTTGAGAGACCCTACCACTCGTATAAGGTTAATGAGTATCTCCACCAGGCTTCTATTCAGAAACTAAGTGAGACATATGATACAGAACGCAATAAGTTGTTTAAGTT